GTTATGAGGCGCAACACCGTCTTTAACGCGTTTAGAGAGAACTCCCTCTGCCTCCCTCCCAGGCCTGTCATGAGATAGACGTGGACTCGTGGCGAACTCTCAAAGAGAACGCCCACACCGCGTCTGACCGTGGGAGAGGGTGGAGGAGCGCGTGAGGAAGAGCACGGCGTCACCCAAGCATTCTCGTCCCGACGAGAGCAATTAGCCACTTTCTACCGTGCCACCAGCATGGTAGATCATGGCCCAGCACTACTTCAATTTAGTTCCACTGCAATGCATGCCAAGCACTCTTTTCGAGGTGATAGACGAAATTCCGGCGGGCTTACTTAAAAGATATCCGACCCGGTTTCGTTTCCTCTTCGTGGGATGGAGTGCTTCTTCTCCGAGAGAGAAGGAGGAGGACGTGTGCCTCTTAGAACATGTGCAGCATCAGCCATGAGCAGCCGACGGCCATTCGTGTCTCTGTGGACAGCAGGCAAAAGAGCGCCTCCAGTTATTTGCGAGGGCGACAACTGTCGTCGGGACGTGGGGACCTGAATCGGCTGCTTGTCCACCAACCAGTCCGTTCATTACATATTGTTTATATTTGGGTTTTAAGTAATGAAACCCAAACGGTTCCTTTTGTTTTATTATAAAAGGTTGTATATATAATTCTGAGCAAGCACAAACTCGTGAAGTCTCATCAAGGTTCAGAGCGAATGAGAAAGGGACGGCGCTTATATGATAAATTCCAGTCACGCCCCTTACGAGTAAGGAGTTGAGAGCTTACTGAAGCTTAGGGGCATCGTGAAAAGTAGCTTACAGAAATGCTGACTATGGGTCACTCCCTCCTGGGAGAGTTGCCCGCTCACGTGTACAACTCATGTCATACTCATAGACAGTGGAAAGTTACAGGGTGGTGAATCTGAATATATTATCAGATGTATTGACCCATTTATATAATATGTTCTGTTGATGAGACAGGGGCCCATTACATCGCTCGGTCACCTACCAGCCGAGCTCCGTGAGGCCTAAATAACTCACAGAGTACAGTACATCCTAGACAACCCTAACCATGTTATAAACAGATATGTAGACACTAAGCTGGGGAAATTACTGTAGGGGTATTCTCTACTACAGGGGACCTAGACTTTTGTGTCGTACGGGTTAGTATGTTATGAACAATGTTGAATTTGGATGATACTGCCCGGTAATAACAGAACAGGAACATTATTGCCAGAATTAACAGAATAGAGGAATCGTAAGACTTGGTAGTGCAAATTCCCGTGACAGGTAAAATGGCAAGTTATTATTCAAATCAGCAAAATGTGTCTTGTTCAAGAAAGCTAAAACTTTTAATTTCTCTGATACTATTTGAATATCCTTGATAGTGAAATTCATTATAGGAAGTGGAATTAAAGCAGACTTGAGTTTTTGATTTAACGCAAAATGCTGATGAGTAGGCAAGGTCCGTAATGTACTACAAGTGATTTCACAGTAATCAGGAGCCTTGTAATGCCCTTTCACAACTAGCTGCTTAACACCATTTTGGCATTTTAAAATTACAGTAGTGAGATTTGGAAAGAACAAATACTGCACATTGTGAAGGTGAGCGTGGAACACAGTCTTTAGACTAACTGGCCTATAACTGCATTGCGCTAACGCTGTGCGTACATTTGGTTGTATGACTGCTAATTCACATATTCCATCTGCAGCAGGAATAAATGCAAACAATGTAGGCTGGACATACGTGTAGGTGTAGATAAGACGACTTACACCGTGACAGTACCTCAGAATCCTCTATTGATAACAAGGAATATTCTTCATCTACTAAGAAAAGTTCTTTAGGCCTATCTAGGGTATACAGTGTGTCGTTCACAAACCAGGGGAAGGGTTCTAAATGCCATGCATTAAACTCATGTTGCCCTCGCATAGGAATGTGGATCAGAATTGCATTGTGCGTGAGGGTTGACTCCAACAGTGGGTAATGATATTGAACCTCATTGTCATTGAAAATCGGAGTTAAATGATACTGCAACTTGGCTATTTTTAAAGCTTCAAGAAGCGTCTACACAGGCACAAGCTTCGCGTCCACACGTCCTATCCCGGCATCTACAATGCTGTCTATTAGTTCATTTTTAGAGGCTACAATTTTATGAACTGAAATTTAGGCAGCATGCAAATATTCTGTGAAGTAAAGGAGCCATTCTAACGTCGGGATTGCTTTCTGTAACCTAGTAACAATCCTCGAAACTTGGTTAGACTCCATTATGATTGCATTAACCTTTGATTCTAGAGCAGTAATCGCGTGAAAGGTTTGAGAAATAACACGATCCTGTTGAGATACAGCTTGAACGACAACGTTCATGAAACTATTATCGAATTCATCGAAGCTGTGCTGAGACCATGAAGAATGTCCAATGCTGATTGTAGTTGGCCGTCGACGTTTTCCATCTGACGCGAATGTACGAGTTAACTTCTACTCGCAGAACGTAGTTTCATACAATAGTCATTTGGGACATTTTGCTTCTGAACAGTCTGTAATGATGTATCAATCACATTATCATCAACTTGAGGTAAGACATTTATCTGGGTCTTCTTCAGACGATCCGCGTGCACGACATCTGCGATCTGTACAGACCAGGTAAAATTTCTGCTTTGTTGGAGTTCCTTTCAGGTACCTGTAACATAACAGCGTCCCCAACGTTCAGTGCGATAGGTTTAGCATGTTTATGTTGTTTGATGATCATTTCGGCGCGTGACGCCGCTAGCTGTGATCGCACTTGGTTATGAATTTCTGTAAAGACATGAATTTGTTTTGCCGCAAAATCATCCGTATTATATACCGGGTATGGCGCCTCTGTAAGGATGTCGTAAGGCAGACGTTTATCTGTGCCATAGACAATATAGTAGGGTGTTTTGCCCGTAGAGCTATTAACTGACCCATTAATCGACGCTGCAACCTGCGGTAACCAATCCTCCCATGCGTATTGAAAACCATTAACGATTGGACGCAGTATTTCTAGGATTTTACGATTGGTTCTTTCAACAAGGCCATTAGCCTGTGGATGATAAGCTGTCACAAAGTTTGTTTAATTCCATATTGTAAACATATATGCTCTATTAGTTCATTCTTGAACTCTGTTCCATTATCAGAGAGTAGAACTTTAGGCGTAGTATATGGACATATGAGATTCATCACTAATGCATAGGCTACTGCTTCGGCCGTTTTGCTTTTTAGTGGGACCAAGACCACGAACCTGGAAAAATGATCCACACACACTAAGACGTATCCTGATCCCTGATGACTCATTGGGAGTTGTAACACATCAACAGCGACTGTGTCAAACGGACGGTCTGGTGTAGGATATTGTAGAATCGGGGCAGATGATCCTGTCGATCTTTTATGTTGAGCACACGCCAAACAATTAGCTATGTGTAATTCTAAGTCTTTCTTCATAGTGTTCCAGAAATACTTCTTTCGTAAATCCGCTAAGCATTTATCACGACCTTGGTGACCTGCTTGTGGGACATCGTGGAACAATGTCATTACTGCTTTGCGCAACGTGTCAGGTACGACTATTTGAGACACATTACCCTCAGGAGATTTTCTCGTCCTATTGAGTATGTTATGTCGTAATTCAAACTGACTTAAGAGAAGAAATAACTTGGGGAGTTTAACATCCTCGTCCGATTCGAGAGTAAAAATAACAGCTGACCAATATGGGTCGCGTCGTTGCTCATCTTCCAGCTGCGAAAGAGTGAATGCTGATACAGGCATTACTGGTGCTATATTTCTTGACAGAGCGTCGGCGACAACATTCGCCCTCCCAGGTAAATACCTGATAAGTTTCTGCCATGGAACAGTTCGGTGACTGCCGCATGATCAGTAAAAACAGTTATCTTGTAGCCAAAGATAATGTCTTTGAACTTCTTAAGTGCCCACACAACGGCTAACGTTTCTAAATGCGTCACCGAATAACGTGTTTCAGCAACGATTAGTTTGCGACTTGCAAATGCTATCACTCTAAACTTCCCACGCGTGTCCTCTTGCATGAGCACTGCTCCGACTCCAATTCCGGGAGCGTCAGTACAGAGAGTGAAAGGTTGAGTGTAGTCTGGGAATGTTAGAACCGGGGCATTGGTTAGCGCTGTCTTCAATGCCGTAAAACTTTCCTCGTGTTCAGCATCCTATATAAACACTGCATCTTTTTTGAGCAACCTCGTTCGGGGCGATGCTAATGTTGCATAGTCCTTGATAAAGGAACGATAATAACCAAATAATCCGAGAAGGCTACGCACATGATCATTTGAGGTAGGACGCGGGAACTGAGATACAGCTTTGACTTTATCATTAACTGTGTGTATGCCCTCACCGTCGACTACATGACCAAGGAAATGGCTTCTGGATTTTAAAAA